GAAACGCATGTATTACAAATCAATAAATAAGTGACAGTATATAAACGTTTGGTAAATATGATCACGACAATGACAAGACAAGCAATAGACATGCCGATTAATCCCAAAATAATTGAGATCGGAATAATCAACGAGTAATCTGTAAAATCTGGGGATGATGCGTTTATGTTTCTTGAATTTGAATACATGAACAAAGATATGTTTGAAAGTTAATATATCCGGTTGTACGGATCTTATTTTTATCGATAACAAATATTGTTTTGGCAATTGATAATGATATAAAGATACAAATATTGTACGAAACAAGAATAGATTATTTTAATAAACACTGAGGTAAAAATGTGTAGAATAAACGAAGAGAATCATCAATAAATTCTCAAAGAAGCAAAATATATGAATAATGTTCAAAAGTCTATTGTGTATATTTATTTTGAAAAATACTCTGTTATATAAAAATGAAAACGAATTAATACATATTGTCACTCTACAGACTTTCTATTATTCAAACTGACAATTTTGTGTCGTTCAATTTCATACTGTATTGAACTAGAACTCAAATAAAAACATGTTTAGACAAGACAAGAACTGATATATATATTTTGTCAACACAAATATCAATACTCCATATATTCATGTGGAAACAAATGCGATATATGATGAATATAAAATATTCATGCAATCATGTCACAGTTTGATGCAATTGTCATCTTTGTTTATGTTAAATACCGTATCAGTCAGAATTTTGTTTTTGTACTCATTTTTATGTCAAGATAGATTAGAAATTCTACAATGCAAACATCATAATCAGTTTTTTATATGATATCTTTAAAACTTTCCGTCATAAATACTCTTGGTCATCTGTTTGAGCTCGAAGTAGTTACATCCGAGAGAGAGAGAAAAATTACGGATTCTAGTCATTGAGTCGTCACTTTTATTTCTATTTTGATTTATAAACCGAGATAATAGTAAGAATTACAAAATTTCAGAATTCAAAAAAAGTGATAAACGAATCGATACAATTTTCGTTGTACTTTTGAATGAAATTATTCAGAATCATAGATCGACAATTTTTGAAGAAGAGTTTAAAACACTGATAAGTTAAGGTGAAAAATAAAATGTAAAACAAATTTTGACTAAGAAAATCAAGTTCTTTCTTTTTAAGTAGTACAGAAAAATATCTACATCAGTTTGTTATAGGTTATCCATCGAATACAACAGGCCGAATGAAAAAAGGCAGTTACATGTATGACATACTTTTCCTATATATTAACATTTTTTCCCACTGGATACAATCAAAAATAACTTATTTTGTTGGAAGAAAAACCTCTTAGAAAGTGCTAAATTGCAATATGAATCAAATAAATCATATAAAATTCGAAAATAAACGTTTTGGGCTATCTAATGATGTGTAAATCCAAAATCGATTAATTAGAAAAAACTCCAATTTTTGACAGAAGGAAAATGCCCTTAAAGGATATTGCAGCGAATACGATGAATAACGATAAAGACATTTTTTTCTTTTTAAATTTTCTTCAAATCTACATAGATCTTCTAAATACATTGAAAATCTCTTCTAATGTAAAGAAGTTCATTAGTTTAGTATATTCTTGTAGTATGGACATTGGCTGTAAATGCAATTAATTTATGACTCGATGATTCGATTTGAGATAAAAATTAATTCAGATGAAGCCGGTGAGAAATTCAGTAGGTTGTAGAAAACAATAAGATCGGAACATATTCTAAGAAATGTCAATCTTGAGAAAACCGAGCTTTTGAAGTATCTCTACAAGAATTTGAACGACACAAAGAATATAACTATTTTCTGACATCAAGTGACAGTTGTAAAAAATAAAAAAGAATGTTATCGATCTTTCAGTTTACAAAAAAAAAACATTCCTAGTTTTTCATAAGAGAAACATAACATTTCTTCTGACTAAAGTTAGTCTCTGTCTTTGATTTACAGAATATAAACCAACGATCGACACTTTTTAGTTCTATAATGATAATGATAATAAGAGAATATGATTATTTATTTAATTTATTTATGTACTCCAAGTTTCAATGTAAGCTTACACAAACAGAAGAAATTTCTTCAAGTCAGTCTAAAATGTTGCATCATATGATTATTTACCAAACATTCGAATGTCGAATTTCAGTTCATATCAGCTTCTATAATCAATTCATTCAAAGAATTCAGAAAAATGTCTGATCCTTTATAATGAACGAGATGTAAAATATATCTTGACTCTCGAACAACACAGATACGTTGAATGAAAAGCAAACCATGCTGAACGATGTAAAGGATAGAACCAATCCGTAAAATAATGGCCTATCTATCATAAATCCTGACGAATCTTCATTCATTCATACCAAAAAAGGGCTTCGACAGGAAAAGGAGTATTTAATGAAAACATTAAATTTTCAATATTATCCACTTCATTTATCTTATTTTCCAGCAAGATTGAACAATTGGACAATTGTAAAAAAAATCTTCTGTTAAATACAGTTATCAGCATTACGTAACATCGATGGTGTCGACAAGTATCATTCTTATAAACAATAAAATGTTAGCGACTATCAGTTTATGTTTGATCTTACAGTTATTGGTACCGCTATTATGTTGAGTAACATAGTTTATAGATCAAAAGCCATTATGAATACAGTAACAAGTTCACGATTTACGAAGTGCTGCTTACCGAAAGAAAAAATTTATGATCAAGAATATAAAGACGGCAAATGGCTTAAATGTTAAGATGTGCTCCGATACTATTTAATGTACATCAACAGAAATCAATCTTATTGTTTCAGCTGTCCCAAGCAGCTTGTTCTCGCATAAAATATAAATTGATTATATACATGATACATGATGTAAGGTAGAATCCAAAACTATGCAAAAAGGATTCCTTTGAATTTCGAGTTTCTTTATGATGAATCAGATATTATATATTCGAATAGATATAGCAGAATACACACAACACTTACACAGATATAGCAGAACACACACACATCACACTTAGACAGACACAGAGAAAAAGATTTTGTATTACCACCAGATATGTACTTTATTGTTTAAATCAGCGATTGCATAATCGATGAGCAGTTTTTCATTGTCTATTAATGTTTTCAAGTTTTTTAAAATCTCGTTCTTTGAATCGAGAATGTTGAGATATAATGAGAAGAGATGTCGGTTGTGGTTTCGATTTTCCACTAACAAGAATTTTATGATCGATTCATAATCAGTATAAGCTATCATTAATTTAAGACATTTGTTATGTGGAAAAATGTTTACGGGAAGGTGAAGTTGTTGTAAAGTGCAAACAGAACGAATGGCCAATTGAACTATATTGTTTCTGTTAAATATCGCATTATCATTATCAACTTGTTTAATAAATGGAAATTGTATATCTGAAATTTCATATCGAGCAAGTTCAAGCGATCGAATACGTTTTGCATCATTCAAGATCTTGAACAATGTATTAATGCATACAGAATCACATTCAACAATTAATTTAGTTAATTGTTCCAATGGTACAATACGAATGAGGTTGACAATCGACCAGTGGTCGTTGTCCATATGTTCATCCGAAATTATGAGACTAGTAACATTTTGAAATTTAACTTCACAATTAATAATTGAACGATGACCATGTATTGTTAAACAACGTGACAAATTACAACCAGTATCTCCATGACATTCCAAATTACTTGCACGTTCAAATAAATCATAGTTATGGTTTCTAAAAGTATAAACAGATTATACAGTTCAAAAGCTCATTATTCGTACCTATATGGCTTGATTGAATAGAATATTACAAGAGTTTCAGTATCCATTCCATCCTCGACCTGATTCGAATAATGCTGATATCCAAAACACCATTTTCGGTCTGTCCAAAAGTTCGAGTAGAAGCTGCGAATGGTTGTATGAAATGCATCATAGTCTTCATCATTTGATATGAAATTTGAATAATGTAAATAAAAATCCTTTAAAGTGCACATATGAGATGAAATCAATGTTATCCAATTATCGGCATTTATGTAATGATCATCATTGGTCGTACAAATACCCAACGATTGAAGTGTCGAAGATATATTAGTCATCAACGAATTAAATTGATTAAATGGTAGATTGTTCAATTCAAGATAAAGATGTTGTAGATTTAATAGTGCGATCGGTGTTTTTAATTGCATATTATAAAAGCCTAATAATGAATGACATCGGACAACACGAAGTCGAGACATACTAGAGAGAATAGCGATGAACTGATGAATATGACATGGTCCATTGATAATGAAATGTTCGATTGATTTATTCTGCTGTTCTTCGTTAATAGCAATTGAGAACGGTGTACCTTCACCACCATTTGAAAATTTCAAGTTACAATAACGTATCTTAGATAGACGAAGAATAAGATGATAAACATTGTTTTCATCTTGAAAATGACTATTGACATGGATCGACAACGAAAATAGACTGGGAAGTGAAGATAAATGTATCAGAACAAGTTCGAGTTTGTTTGATTCGATTTGATCGAGGATCAATGATTCGAGACGAATAAATGCATTGATAGAGAATAATTTTAGAAAACGATTAATAGTGAGTTTGCTTGATAAACGAAGTGAAACGATTCGATTAGGAATGTGCAGTTTCGGTGAAAACAGTGAATTACTGACAGTGATGCCACTGCACTGAGCTCACTAACTGCAATGACACACTGACACTGGTGTTCACTGAATCAATACATACACTGACACTGACTGCTTCGGTAGCAGTGTCTGCACCGACACGGTGTTCACTGAATCAGTGCATACACTGACACTGACTGCATCGGTGTCAGGGTTCACTGGAACAGTGATGCTCACTGAAGTATCAAGTCACCGACTCTATCAAAGTATGCACTGCTCGTGACTTTATTTATAATTATCAACGAAATT